ATTTTTCACAGTGACCATCATATATCTGATAGGAAGTGGTAACACCCAGTTAATTTCTTTCTTCCTAATTTCGGGCTGGCAAAAAGGAGAAAGAAACAAAATTTAGCCCAGTCAGGCTTAGAATTCTCCAACAACATTGCAGTGCCCAATGAAATGTTTGTAAAAATAGATTCTGACACTTTTTCCATGCATTGAAAATAAATGGGTTAATATACTGTACCTCCGTTAAAGTCAAAATATATGCATAAATTCAAAGCTACTCCATGGCTTCAATGTTATAACCAAAGCAAGATTTTACAGCAAGAAAGTGATTTGGGTATTTACAGCAGAAATTATATTTAGACAAACTTTACTACTGTACATGCTACCAACATTATTAAAATAAACGAGGCACAACTATAACTACAGCTGACTATCTCAACATAAGAACGTGATAACAGTTAATAATCCACCCAGGAACGACTTATGAAAACTTGGGAAGGACAGACTACGGCGGCTGCCTGGAAAAAGGACTACAATGCATAGTTTAGCCTTCTGTTCATCACAGCATGACTCTTATCAGAAAAGGTTAAATAATATTTATTCAATAAAATAAGTGTAAGCAAGGAGAATGGTGCTTGACTGCAAGATAAATAGAAGGAGGGTTGCTCTTATGTCCAGTACGGATTGACAAGGGAAGTTACTTGCTCGAACATTCAGAAAGAGTTCCGTCTAACCAGTTTCAGAGGCCTCATCCGACTTTTACTGAACACAAGTGGTGATTGTTCACTTTCACATTACATTTCCTCCTTTTTTGCTAATATTATTAAGCAGTTTGACCTCATGGTAGAGTACAGGTGATAGGCAGAAATTATATATTAGGAATGAGGAATATGAAAGGTACAAGGAGACAAGGAGAAACACAAGGAGACAACAAGGGGACAAACAAGGAGAAAAACAAAAACCAAACCACAATAAACCAATAAATAAACCACACACCTCCAGGAGATACTGACCGGCATTACAACTCCTGTCTTCAAAAGAAATCATAAAAATCTTTTGTATAGGAATTATTTATATTCAATGAACATAGCATGTTTAAAGTATTTGTACTACTTTCCAAACCTGTGTTACCTACAGAGGCAAGATTAGCAAATAGAGTGATGCCATGAGCTCAGCTGCAAGAACATGCGAGAGATGATGCTCTTTGTTTTCAGTTTTTGTGGGAATCTGACCACAGTGACAAAAGGTGTTTTGGTCACCTTTTTCCTGTGACCAACAAGCTTCCAACATTAATTCCAAAACTATAAAAGCTAAAAGCAGAAAACCTCACCCAGTCAAATGTTTCCCTAAAAAAGTATTTTCTTACTAGCTAGTGTTCAAAACATTTTTATTTTATTAGCCAAGGTTATGCTTCCCCAGAGTAATAAAAGAAGGGGAACTGAACTGGAAAAGTGTTACACTTAGCTTGGGGATGGAAAGGGCGCTCCTGAAAAAGAGAAAAATTACAGAATAAACAGCAAATGAGGGAAAACAAACAAACAAAAAACTCCACAACTTTCCCAGTTGGTGCTGTCCTCCCCCCAAGTCTTTTTCCACTATTTGCACTTCTCTGTGTCAGTAATCTGGCTCATTTTTTTTTAAACAACCCCCAGGCTGTCATGCCAGAAATGGATTTTTGTGTGCGCTCCTGAGGAAAGAAACCTGCTGAGCTCAGCTCTTCCTGAATTTGTTGGGGGCAAAAGAAAGGGGAGGGGGAAGAGGCAGTTTGAGATGCACTTCTTCCTTAATATTGAAGTCCTAAACATATGAACATATGCCAATAAGTCAAGAACACCTAAAAGCTACTTTAAGTGGGTCTAAGATATAAAAGATAATTAAAAACTCTTACGTTAGTTCAGAAAATAAAAAAATTTTTTGCTCAAAATCTGTATTATGTCAGCCTCTCTGAAACTATTAAGATTTTAAACACGAAGCTGTTCCAAAAAAACAGAAGAAGAAACAACAGATTAGAACGTATTAGCAAGATTTTAAAATAAATACAAACTCATATTTTCTGATGTTTGCAGTTCATAAAAAACTAAGATCTCAGCTGCACTATGGGTGTTCAGAGGCACTTCTGACTGGATTTCTAACCACTGCTCTGGGAATTGTCCTGGTTTTTATTTCTTTTTCCCAAAAGTTTCAGTGTATGGAGGAAGAAAAAAAAATACACATACTAGACTATTTGGAAATGTTTTAATGGACTATTCAGCCAAAAACCTAAGTCCAGTTCTCTGACCATATTTCCCTGTCCGCAGCTTTCAGAGCAAAAATAACTATATGCAAGGTGCACAAGACAAAATCCAACCCCTCCCCCCCCCAGCATCACACATTCAAGTGTTAATCCTGCACACATGCTTAACTTTAAGTTGCACAATAAGCACATCATAAGGATAAGGGTATAAGCTCTCCTTTTGCTGGAAGTCAGCTCTAGTTACCCATTTTTCATATAGTGTAGCCTGCATATGGAAGTTACCAAGTAGCACTTTGCTGTTTGCTACATTGTTAAAATGACATAGTGTTCCTCATATCCTTCCCTTCTCTCCTCTCCCTTTCCTCCCCCAAGACCAGCCTCCTCTCATGCAGATAGAAACGCCAAACAGCAGAGATCTCTGCAGAAGTACACAGTAGATGCTGGCTGGGGAGCCAGCATCTGGGTTTCCACACCAACAGTACAGCATCTCCCAGAGCTACAAAAACCAAGAACTTGCACTTAGTCAGAAAGATGTCTGACTTGGCCTTCAAAGCTACTAGCAGCCTTTTTGCTCTGGAGCCATAAGTGCATCAGAATGTCGCTGAAAAATTTAATGCAGCACACTTCCAGTCTAAATACAGTTTGGCATGAGCAGAATCCTGTCCCGCAGCGTAAGAGCTGAGAACGACAGACAGCCTTGGCACCTGTGTAAGATCGTCACTAGGGGACTCCGGCCTCTCCCTTTTTCAGGGAAAAGAACAGCTCCAAGGGGTTACCACCGGTGGTTACCACCGAAGCTTCCAAGAAAATGAAAAGATGTCCCTTCATGCCATACGCCTTCAGCCCCTTTAACTAATACAGAAGATGCTCTAGACTCATAGCATTTCTCATTCAACTAAAAACAAAGACTTTAATTTTATCAACATTAGTTCCGGAGCTTCACAGAATGAAGCAACTGTTTCTCTGACTTGCTCTATTCTAGTCTGTACATTTTTTTCTTCCCCTAAGGCAGGTCATTTGGAAACTGGATTGCACCATCTCTCCACTGTCAATATTACAAAAGAAGGTCTAATTAGACAGAGTACTGAAAGCAAAGCTGCAGCAAATATGACCATCTCAACAGTACAACAAGGAAAAAGAGATCTAAAATAGTTACTTAAATAGGGGAAATACTATGTTGTATTCAAGGTTTTAAATGAAGCACTTGAGTAGCCTGAGAAATGCTGCAGTTTGGACTGTGCTTGTTTCAAAATACATGCTGTATCATTAGTGACCTCACCTAACTTGCTTTATAAGTAGGCTACAAGTTGCTGAACACGACAGCTGCATTCTTCATGAACCATGACTATGATAGACTGCCTAAAGACAGTGAAATACGCAGATAAGAAGTCCTACAAACGTGCCTTGCGGCAAACTCTCCTTTAATAAGCATAGTTTAAAAGTAAACATACATCTTGTATATTATTTAAAAATTGATACAATCAAGTAAACAATTTTAAGAAACTGGTTATTTGACACCTTTAATGATTAAGTTGCTGGGTTTGATTACCAATGAAGAATGATGAAAACAGCATAGACAGGTCAACAGAATTTACAGAGATAGAAGAGCACTCCGGGGGTCTCCCCCCGCCAAGGTCTTCGGCAGAATTACCAATACCCATATATTGTTCCTGACAAATTTTTGTTCAATGCATTCATAGAAATCGCCATCAGGGAAACCCTAAAGTCATCCAGGCAATATAATCCGTTCCTCTTTACCTTCATTACTGCAAGAAGTTTTTTTCTATTGTTAACCCAAGTTTCCCTCGGCCCAGTTTAAACCTATTTCCTCTCATCTATTCACCACAGACAGAAAGCACAGTTCTCTCTTTAGGACTCTTAAGCATTTGGAGATTTTCTGTCGTCCCCCCCCTCAGCCTTCTCATCTCTAGGCTAAACAACTAGAATGCATTTGAGCTTCCCTAAGAGGTCAGATTTTCAAGACCTCTGATAATAATCACTGTTGTCTTCTGTCTCTCTCCAAATGGTCCGCTACTTACCTGAAAAGTAGTGCAAAAAAAATGAATGAAGTGTTCCAGCTGAGGCCTCACTAACGCTGAGCGGGATGGAAGAGTCCTCTACACATCCTACAGGCTGCACGCCTTCTTAGATATGCCGACATCTAAGATGCATGAGCTTTTCATAACAGCACAACAAAAAAGCGTAGCAGTTTCCAACTTCAATACCTAGCAATAATTTAAATCTAGCAAACCAAGTGTGGTTGGAGCCCATCGTCCGTTTGTTTCAGGCAGCTCCATCTCTGTAAGAAAAACTGCTACCTGTGAGCAACTGGATACTTCTGTTAATCACTCCATATCTGAATGCTGCTCTCAGAGGACAACACTGACTTGAATTCTTCTTTTTCCCCTTTGTCTTACGCAGTAAAAATGCTCTAAAGCCTGAATAAGGTGCCCACGTAGCTCCAGCTCCTAGGCTAGTCAAGTGAGCAGTTGTTTTTTATTTATTTATTTTTTAATCTGTAAAAATATTAAGTCAAGGTCAAAGCTATTTCCCTGTGACCTGCAACAATACACTCCCTACAATTTCTTTATTCCTATTTATAACCACTCAGCTAATTAACTCTGCTTAGTCTCTTTTAACTGAGTATATGTTAATACAAAAAATACACACAAAGGTCACACTATCCCAAGAACTTTATTTGGATTGCACTGCTTTATATATCTTACCAGAGTGTCTTCTACATTTACCTTTAAGTATACAAAATCTAAATACTTCTAATGCTTACCTTTCTGTGTTCAATTGAAGGCTGTGGGATGACAAGCTGAAATCCCAGCACTGCTAGGGAACTGAGAAGTCTGAAAAAGCAAAGAGTGAAATGGGAGATATTGTAATTACCACTAAACCAAAGCACACATCTACAACCTATTACAGGGCTTGATACTGTAAGAACTTACACACTGTAAGAAACGCTCTTGTGACATTCCCTTCACTACACAGCAGACGGTAATAGGTACGCACATTCATTTGTTTATCTATATAGCAAAAGTACACTAAGTAGAATCCGTTAAGAGTATTTCAGATGACTTTGTCTAAATTAAAATATTTTCAGAAGTGTCTGCTTTTACACCTCAGCATTTGGGATCAAACTGACCTATGCTTTGCAAGTTTTCAAAAGGGTAAAGCAAAAATTCAGCTATCTGTCGACTAAGCATGCTTCTAACTCCGGCTCCTCGTTTTCGTGGATGAACGCTCCACCTCCTGCACTCAGGAAACATGTACAAAACCTCCATGATTTTGCAGCAAATAGGTCCTTCCCCAGATGCCTAACGCGTGTGGAAATTGAATATCCTAATGGGCACAGGAGATGGAAAGTAGTGGATACAGCTCACCAGAGACTCAGGATAAGCAGCCAAGCATCACCCCAGTCCCCACAGCTTCAATCTGAAAGGAGCCATAATGGGAACCAAGCCCAAACAAACTTTGCTCTGTCAAGGCTCACTACTGTAAAGACTCCTAGGAGCCCATTACAAGTTAGGCTCAGTTAGCTCAGTCTTTTGTTTGCTACAGTTTGTACTAGGGACTGGTTTGTCCCCTCCTAGCAAGCCCCTTCATCAGAAAACACACAGGTAAGAGGAAGGGACAATTAAGATATACATACTTCCACCAGGAGTTTGACCTCCAGGTCTACAAAGTGAATCCTTGGGACTCACTTTGAAGGAGAAAGCTGCTAATAGCTTGCTGAACTTCAAAGCAGAAACAAAACTGACGGATTTGGACACAAAATCCATCTGCAAACTAATGGACCAGACAAAATTCGGCTATGCCTCCTAATCACAGCTCCTTCCTTCTCTCCCTACACAGTAACCTTTTAAATATTTCATATCATTTCACATATTTTCAGAGACTTTTCAGAGTACTTTTCTATACTAAGCATTTCATTACAGCAGATATAGAAAACTCAAGAAAAACAACTCTCCCTAGCAGAAGAATATGTTTGCTCTTGCTAACATGCTGCAAAAGGAACTATTAGATAAATATTAATCGTACATGGCCTGCCGTCACCTCATCAGCAGTCTACGCCCCTCTATCTCTCAAAGCAAAAACCATTCAAAGACAAAAAAGTCATTATTTCCTTATTGCCACATTAATTTAGGAAAAAAAATAATTAAAATACTTTAAAAAAACCCTTAGAAAGAAGTATTGTATTATATGTAGCTATCATTTGTGACAAAGCAAAACACAAAGGAGCCAGCTGAAATCAGGGCCAGTGTAAGGCACTATAAAGAACAGCAGTAAGAGCCCAAACGTGCAATTCCGAGCAAGGCCCAATAACACAGTGGTGGATGGAAGCCAAAGGCATGAAGGAAGAAAGCGATTTGCCAATCACACCTCAAAACAAAGACAGAATTAGAAGCAGAACTGGCCCTCCAAACTCCAACATGACAGCGTTAAATCTGTATTCAGACGACCTGCATGTCCCTTTTTCAAGTACTCATGCGACCAAGAGATCATAACTATTCTCAATGAAAATATGACAAGCGTCTCAGCAGGTAGAACCTGCGTCTTGACAGACCTAGCCTACACCCTCTCCAAAATATACTTAACTTTCTTTTCAGAATCTTCCAACAGTCCCTGCACTCCTTCATGGCTTCCACTCCCTCTAATCCCTCAGAGCATGTGAGAGAAAGTTCAACATTTGCATAAGGAAATGGATGCTTTCATGCACAGCAGAAAGGCAGGGTTTTCTGAGCAGTCTGAAGGACTGCAAATTTCCATGAAAAAATTCTACTGAAATCATACAATAAGGTTGAGAGTTCTGAAGCGAGAACTGTAATCTTCAAAGAAAATTACTTACCAGATTAAAGATTTGAGTTCTGAAGTGCATTAGAGTATGACCCAAACGTAGCATTTGCGCAACTACTCTGTGCCAAGCTTTTCCTGACCATTCTTTAAAGCGGCTGCATTGTAATCTGCATCTGTGTGCGTGCTCAAGGACGATAAAACTACTTTTTAGTTTGCTTCTCTATCTGCCCTTGGATCTCCCAGAGACAATGGTGATCAACCTACTGTTTCTAGCATATCGGAAATCTAGCAGGAATACTTAAGCCATCCTGAGGTAAGGCATCTAACCTCACATTAGTGTGGTGATTTAATTTCTTTTAACATTATTTCACTCAATAGCTTGCTTTGGCTAACTCCTCTGGACTAGTTTGTGGGGGGGTTTTTTGTTGTTTTTTTTTTGTTCTGCTTGACTAACATTAGGCCTCCCGAACTACAAAAATGTGTTTCTCCAACTTCAGTGGGTTTGTTTCAGGCACTCTTACCATGCAGAACAGCCGAAAAGAACAAGTGCTCCTCAAAATAAAGTAAAACAAAAGATACACGGATAGCACAGTTTTCAAGTCAAAATGTCTATCTGTCATGCAAAGAGGGGGATTATTCTGACACAGCCATTTCTTCATGCAGTCACAGCTCATACACCCTGAACTTTCTTCAGGTTTGACAGTTCAGGTACGAATTGCAGATGCTCTGTGGCTGCTTAACTCAGGCCTCTGAGTAAGTACCTTGTTTCTGGAGACCATGCTGTCACTTATGCAACTATTTGCAGCCAAGCAGCTAGTTTAAGCTAAGTCAGGTGTCTATCCAAGTGGCACAGCATTAGACCAAAGAGCAAACATGCTCACTTTCTTTTACTGGCAGCGCCACTTTCTGTTTAAATGGGAAGGTCTCCTGGTAAGAAAAGCAATAGCAGCTGTATCTTAGCAACAGCAAGAAAAGGCTGCTATTCTGGAAAAAGGGCCCATTCCCACCAAGCGGGAAGAGAGAGGATTCTTCATTAGGAATATCTCTCCCAGTTCTTCCTCTGTCATTGCAAAGAGTAGCAGCTTCCCATGAAATAAGCTGGAGGGTACCAAAGTAGATTTCTTGCATGTCTGCTGTCCCTCAGTAGTTGCACTTCTAAGGAGAGCTATCATGGTCAACTGTGGATTATCCAGACAGGAGTGAAAGGATTTTAGGCACATGATTAGTGTTGACTGGTGTGGACTAGTGACTGACAAGTGGCTAGTCTCCAACTTTCTCCTCAAATGAAAGTCTGTAGGACAGCCTAAGTCTGGGACAGCTTGGGGAAAGCAGGGAGAAGTCTCAACAGAAAGGATAACATAGCTATTGTCGATAATATGTGACAAATCCATTCTGATGTGGAACCTTCCACGGAATATTAGGAGGGTGCCTGAATTCATGTCTGAATACACAGTGAAGGTAGGTTAGATCAGAGTTATTACTGACAGTATTTCCACACAAATTAAAGAGTACGTGGCTCAGTAGACTGCAGCTGTCATTCCTAGTAGGACATGAACTTTTGTCCGTGTAGTACCACAGCTGTCTGTTTTCTCTGAATTTGCTTGCTCAACTACAGAACTGGACAGACCAGCTTAAAAACAGCTGTTTGCTTTGTCAAGTAAACTGTTCAAAAGGTTTTTTCTATGTTTGCTCCATGGCAAAATGTTTCATGAATGCATAATATAAATCTTTGAATGAACTGCAGCACACATACAAGAGCATGCAAGTCTGAATTATTTAAGGACAGTGAGAGTAGCCATGCAGTCTCATTTAAGAAAAAGGGGGGGAAAAAAACAAAAAGAAAGAAAAGAAAAGGAAGGTTTTTTAGTGTTTCCAAAAAAACATGCTATCACAATGGCACAGACTAACAGGTGCTCAAAGCATAAGCAAGTATTGAGAATTTTCTCATCTTATTATCAAAGAAGCCTACGTCTGGGATGCATGCACTTGATTATTTGGTCTTTGGACAAGACTTTTATTTATCCTGCTATGATCCAAACATTTAAAATGCCTGTAAACTTTAAAAGCAAGAGACCATCAAATGAATATTGCAGTCTGTTAAGAGCATATCAAATAAGATTTTACTTTTATTTTATTGCATCACTTACCTCAAAGAAACTGTTAAACTGTCTACCATGATCCTTTAATGCAAAGTGTTTTGAAGTGAAAAATATTCTTTGGTGTGTTAAATCGCAGATCGCACGCAAATCCTACAGAAAGAAAGAGAGAAACATGTAACACTTTATTCAGTGTTTTCCAGAATGGCTATAGAACTGGAGACAGGCCTACATTAGTCATGTCTATCCAAACTCCTGGCCTCTACAGCAATTTAAACTAGATCTTCAGTATACGTTAAATGAATAGACAGGACATGTCTCATTTTAGTTAGTAAGACTTCACAAGTGCCAAAGTGCTTTGCTGAACAGGAATGGAATGCAAAATCTTGACCTGAATCTCAAGGGTACAAAACCAGTGTTAAACTTACTTGCCTTTTTATCTCACATTCCTTCTAAGTCACTTCAATGACTTTATGCCTTTTCTTCCACCATACTGGAGATTTTCTTTTCAGTATTTTTCATAGCAAACAGCTCATTTTATTGCCTTGTATTAATAGAATTCACAGGATTTAAACTGAGTTACCAATTTCTAGTGTATTTTAGTATTGTTAATACACTCTCTGAACATTTCATGATCAATGTAAGGATGATTCTGTTGTAAGGATACGGTCGGAAGAAAAAACAGGGAAGACCAGTGCTGCTCCCTCTCTACTACAGACAGCAAATTGAGCTACCGTGAAGTTAAATACCTTGCCCATAGGAAATTTGCCCCCACAAAATCTGAGGTTAAACAACATTCTGAACCCATATTCAACTAATCCTTATTTCCGAATTCTGTCCTTGCATCATGTCTACTACAAACGCATGCAGAAGCCCTACCAGCCCTTAAAAATTTTATTACCTGGATACGTTATGATTTGTTTGGATATATCTTCAACTGTTCAGACACCTGAGGAGGTCTTGGTTTGATAAAGTTATCAAACTTTAGTCAACTAAATTGCTGCAACAGGGTTCTTAGACAGAAAAGAAATCCCTGTAGTATCAATACAGAATAAACCTGGGGGGCAATGAGAGGAAATGTAACACTCCTGGGACTGAGCCTAAATCCATATATTTCAGAACTTGGTCATCTGCTGTCTGTATCTTGCCATTTACAAGTGGTTACATGTTGAAATGCAGCGTAGCAAACAGAAACAAGAGAACTTTGCTGTTCATAGATAAAGAGCTCTCAGCTCCTGTCAGCCAGCCAAATAATTAAAAGCTGCCTAGAAAGGGACAAGGCTTATGAGATCTTTAAAAAGAGTCAAGTAAACTAAAAATTCAGTGCTAGAAATGTAGATTGTATAGAGGTAACTAGACAAGCTGCATATCTCACAAAAATTAAAAGTAAAAAAGAAAAAAAATACCAAAGGGCAAACTTACATTTACTTTAAGCAAGCATATAATATTTCTAACAACTTAAAAAGAACATTCCTTTCACGGTTTTGCTTCTTCTTTTTTTTTTTTTTTTAAATGAACATGGAAAAGTATCGTGACAGAAGTTATGACTAACTCAAACTTGTTATGCTCAGAAGAAAGCAAGCATCAGAGCACAGCTAAATTTTATCCCTTCCTTCTGCAGTTCCATGGTTGTCAGGAGATCTAAGAGCCCTTCTCGAACTTCTTCATCAATTTCACTGCTTAAAACAACATAGTTGTTTTTTAAAAGATGGGAAGCATTTCTGAACACAAATATTTTAGCCTAGATCTCCTGCAACACTTTTCACCATTCAAGCTTTTGCTCTGTGGTTTCAGAAAGAGTTACATTCTTTTAAATGTTAGGCAAATCCATATATATGCCACTAGCACAAAGCATTTAGATAGATTCCCTTAGGAAACTATTTACTAACAGACACTGAATGGTGAAGGAAACAAATGTTTCATTTCCTGCAATCTGATTCTTAATTACCAGACATTCTGAGGTCAATGGCCTTTTATATCACTTATTGAAAATGGAGGCTATGTATGTAACGGATTGTCACCAACATAGTTTCAAGTTCTCATCATTCTGTTTTTTTCCAGATGTATGCTCTTGTTCTGCTTTTTACTCTACAATAATCTTTTATCCCACGTCCTTGTATGGAGGGACACGATCTCAACAGAATACTGTTACGTGACACAAACTCACACAGAAAGAAATGTGTACCCTCCAAATCCTTGCAAATTACTCCTCATTCTGAAAATCAGAAAAGATAGCACTCTTGAAGTAGTTTCACTAAGAAGCTGGGAAAAAAACCCACTCCAGTGTTTCTGGAGATTATTCTTAAAAAGAGTATTTAAAGTACATGCATATTTTTTCCATTTTTTCTGTTCACCTGTATCTTCACAGTCAACAGCAGTTTGCATTATAAACCCAACTTTCAGCAGAATGCCCTTTTCAAAATACTTCTTACTGCAACTCACAGATCCGCTTTTTCTGAAATTGCATTAGTAGCACAGTGTAAAAAATGCAGAAGTGTCCAGAGTGACTTCAGAGCTTGTTTTCAAAATGACTTCAGTACTTAGGTGCTCATACCCTATTGAAAGCAATGTCATTTTGCCAGTGGTGTTTCTGATACGAAAATTTGCAAACATGACAATCATTTTCCCTCCATTAGATCTAGGACAAAATGAATACTTGAAATGGCAAGACAGTTAATACTGGGATTATGCAACATGAGTTTTGGCAAGAAACTTTCAAAAGTCCGATGAGGTGTAAAATGGGTTTGCTACAGCAATAAGTCTTGCAAATGTAAAAGTCAAATTACCTTCCTGCGAGGAGCTTAAAAGCACTACAGATCTATCTAGGTAAAGGCTTTCTAGAACCCCTGTGCATAGGGGAGTAAATCTTAGTATCTCAATGGGAACAGCCCACACTCCTGTACCGGAGGAGAGCTTCTCCGCTGCATTAAAATCTTTTGACATTTCAGCAAATCTCCCACGTTTCACCTCAACTGAGATGAAACCAAAATCTGAGAAATTGCATAAGATTGAGTCAAAACAGGATGGAAAAAGAACGCAAACCTCCTCTTCAGAGCAACCACTGCTCAACAGCCAAAGGGCTCCTAGTTTCTGTCCAGGTTCCAACAAGAGACAACAAGGAATTAAACCTAGGCTTATTCCACATGTACGAGGAACTCTCATGGCCAAACAGTTTGCTGAGCTTTACTGATCTTTTTGTGAGAGGTGTGTCACTGCATATAATATGCATCAGGTCACAGAAAAGGAGACTGACTATGCAGAGCCTGATTCAAGTTACCTCCTACAGGTGAGTGATCCTAACACCTTCAGACTGCTTCCAGTCTTAGTACTTATACCACCAAGTTATGAGCTAATCAGAACCAGCTTTCCTCTTGGAATTTACTGAAATTTACTCTGAGACTCTCAAGCTCACCTGCATGCTCTCTTTAATCACCTCCGCCTAGCATCCCACTAGTAGTCAGACACTGCACACCTCTGGGCAGGGCCCAGATGAAAGTCTCTTAAGTGAAATTAGAAAACAAAAATACTTATCTGTAAAGGTGACATCAAACAGGAGCAGGGATGGAGAATGCCAGTAACTTATTAAAAAAAAAAAAAAAGAACATAATAGGCTCAGAGGTAATTTCAGAAATTTGCTGAGATACAGACAAAATCAGACGTCTCAAAAAACTAAAAGATGTAATACACCAACGTATCAGCACAGGCATCATAGACGCTGGACAATGAAGAAAGGGGAAAGCCTACCGGGAAGTCAACAGTGAGATTTCTCTCCCCTTCAGCTAATTAACTTGAAGAAATTTCTTCCTATGAAGTGGTCTGGAAATTTGAGAAAACTGATTAATTAGTTATCCTAACCTATTCAATATCATGGGACCACTCACATGCAATTTTCCATGCAACTATCTCTCTTATGTATTGTGAGCAGATGGTATTTCACTTTCACAAATTCCAATGCAATTTTAACAACAATCAACCTTTACTTCTCCAAATTCTGTTATTTGCATATTTCTCTATGCATCTATGTATTAACCATAAAATTCTTAACACGTACATATGTACACATGCATAGTGATACGACCTAAATACCTCTGTTCTAACTCACAGCTACGACGTGAGACACATCATGTGAATACATACCCAAATTCAATTACGTGCAGAATTGCTCTGAGCTATATAGCCTATTTTATCTTGTTGACTTAAATATATGCCAAGTCAAGTTAAATTTCCTTAAATATTTATTTTCCCGATTAGATTACGCATCTTGCCAGCTACTGCAATTTAAACGGCAATTTAAAGTGGCTATGAAACTTGAGCATCATTCCAAAATCACGTTTTCCACTGATGTACACAGCTCTCCTTTCATATTATTTAGGAAAAAAAAAGTAGTAAATAATATTTAGAAATCCTTACAGAAAACAATACTATACTGTTTAAGGTGACCTTTGAATCTGATGCCTTGCACAATGGTAAAACACAGCATATATTAGATTATAGTTGCTCCCGCCTATTAAACTAGATTCAACACGGGTCCTTTGGATTGCATCCAAAATTCACTACCTTCACTAGACTTCCATGAAGCACTGCACAGTGCACCAAATTTATCTAGTTACATAACTTGTGTGTACTCTCAATAACTTGTTCTATAGCTGTTGATAAGTACTGCCGGAATCCTGTCAAATAATCATTAGTTATATTAAAACGCACACTTGGCTCTGAAAGCTGCATGATAGAGAAACCTAGTCTTGGATCTGATAAAAGGTTCTGATGCTAACATGGATTATACATTTTCATTAAATCAAAATTTCTGAGTTACTCCACCTAACCCTGAAGGTGCCTCTCCATTTTACTATAAATGCTTTGAAAACTTTAAAGTTCTCCTTTTGGGTGTGTCCAGAATTATTGCAGTCCAAGAAAGCTCTCAGTGCCTGTCTCCAATCTAAGCTTGATCAGGATCCAGAAGTTTTCATTCCCTTACTTAAATATTGCAAAGAACACAGTCTAGTAAGTATACTCCACAAACAACAACAAACACAGAGGCACAATGAAGAATCTTACAATCACAGGTGCCTATACTCATAGGAAGTAGCGCCACTGCACAAGATTTTCAAGATTCCCTGCCTCAGAGAGCCTAAACAAAACAATAAC